CATGCAGATATAATTCAAGAATGGCTATTTCAGTGGTGGGTAAACACTAAGAAGACCACTGCAGCTCAGAAATAAAAATAGAGCTGACTTATGGCAACTATAGGGTTTTCAGAGCAAAAAAAATGAACAGAGGTGGTTTGACATTGCCTGTCTGTGCATAGCAACCCTGGACTTCATTGGTGATCTCCCATCCAAGGACTGGTCAGGACTGACCTTGCTTAGCATCCAAGATCTGATGAGATCGGGCTAGCCTGGGCCATTCAGGTCAGGGTGGCTATATATACTTCTACCTCAGCAGATATCCAATCATATATTGGGGGAAAACCCTTTTGGGATATATTAAAACACTCTGAATGAAGAGTAGTGGATAAAATAAGGGTAAGATAAAGTATTAACCACCCCCAGTATTAACTTTGGGGAAAGTAACACCTAAAGCAAGGCCCGTACCACCTGTAGCTCTCCAATCTGAATTAGGGTTGGTTGCCAGCATCAGAAGGGGTTGGGGATGGGGATACGGTGCGGCAATGTCGGCTCTGTCACTTCCAGGGAAAACTTGCCCTATTTGGGCAAGCTCATTGAGAGGGCGGTGGCGTCACAGCTTCAGAGTTTTCTGGAGGATGCTTCCATCCTCGATCCCTACCAGTCCGGCTTTCGCCCTGGTCATGGGACGGAGACTGTGCTGGTCGCCTTGACTGACGATCTCCGTAGGCATCTGGATCGGGGTGGTGTGGCGGCGCTGGTGTTGTTAGATCTATCGGCTGCTTTCGATACGGTCGACCACCAGCTGCTGACCCACCGCCTCGCTGACTTGGGGATTCAGGGGCTAGCCTTACAATGGTTTGCCTCTTTTCTCCAGGGTCGGGGACAAAGGGTGGCGATAGGGGATCAGCGGTCCCGGAGGCACCCCTTGGAGTGTGGGGTGCCGCAGGGGGCCGTGTTGTCCCCGATGTTGTTTAACATCTACATGCGCCCCCTTGCCCAGATTGCCCGGAGGTGTGGGCTGGGCTGTCATCAGTATGCTGATGACACCCAGCTCTATCTGATGTTGGGCGGCCAGTCGGGCTCTACTCCTGATGACCTTCATCGGGCGTTACAGGCTGTGGCTGGTTGCTCAGGCTGAGCCGGTTGAAACTAAACCCGGAAAAGACGGAGGTCCTGGGCCTGAGTCGGACCGGCGTGGGACTGGGGCTCCCTCTCCCGACCTTCGATGGGGCGCCTTTGGTGCCATCGTCGGAGGTTAGGAGTTTGGGGGTGCGCCTGGACTCTTCATTAACGATGGAGGCCCAGGTGGCAACCACTGCCAGGGCGGCCTTTTACCATCTT